ACACATAACTTCCTCTATAATCATAAATTATTTATATTTTTTTACCTTTTTTGTTCATGTTACAAATTAGAAAACACAAACAGCTTCCAGGTTGTTGGTAAGTATGGTCATTTTTTTTCACTTAATTTGCTTCACTCCTGCTTTCAGTCTTGCTAACCTGAGCTAAGCTCAACTACGACTCCAGCTATGTACTTAACATACAGACATAAGATACTGTTATCATCTCACCCTTGTAAACAAAGTGAAAAGGCCCATTTCTTATTTCGAAAAATGAGTGAAGCTAGACCAAGGAGACCGGTAACTTATCATAAAGACTGCAGAAAGAAGCTCACATTACATCTTCTTTGTTTTACTTTTGAACAGAACCAGGCTAGCTGTTTCCCTGTGTCTTTTTGCTAAGCTAAGCTAACTGACTCTAGCTTCATATTTAGCATACAACGTAAGAGTGGTATCAATCTTCTCATCTCACTCTCAGCAAGAAAGTGATGAAGGGCATTCCCCAAAAAAACAAAAACAAAAAAAGTTAGTATATCTGAAAGCCATTTGCAAATTGCAAATTTGGAAGTGTATGTTAAATGTACATATTTTTCAGTATGGGCTGCACCCTCCAACATGACACCTCCTCACCACCGCACAACCTTAATACTTCCCCTCATCTGCCACTTTTGATCCCCCCAACAGCAACACTCAGAAGTTTCTCATCCCTCCAGTTCTCTCCAGCTTCCTCACCTGCAGTGTTCACTTTGATTAAAGTACATTTCAGGGAAGGAGCATAGGACATAAAATACCTTCACACACAGATTAAAGAGGAGAGAGGTAGAAAGAAAAAAAATACCTTAAAGAGTTTTAATACTTTATGAATTCTGATACCTTTTTAAGAGTTTCAGACTTGAAGCTGCTGTGACAGGTTTTGGCTGTTTCACGCCCGTGTAAATATCCTGCTCTTTCCTATTTTGCAGATTTATTACGTGTAAATAGACACGCATCAAGGAGAGATTAAACATGTTTTTTGCTAAATCTGGCTTGTCTGATGTTTTCATTCCCCTTCCCCATCCCCATATACCCTCAAAGTTGTGGATTTGGAAGTTGTAACAAGTTTTAGGTTTATCTCAAGTTCACGTCACCACAAGAGAACTTGAAAGATCAAAAACAGCACTTATGAGACTTAAATATTATTGTAGCTACACTGTGCCGTCTGGTAAAGCGAATACTACTGCTTCTGTTTGATTTCCCCTCTGTTTTTTCACATTGATGTTGATGAGGACTTTGACAAAGATAAGAAAGAAATAAGCATTGACTTTACAGACTTTACTGTCAGAAATCCCTGACGCGACAGGAAGATGCAAAGCTCAGCTTTGCAACCACCCATCCATATCGTCTCACTTTTCCATCCATGTGAAAAGACTGAAATTGTCCCAGGGAGTGCCAGACCAGTGAATCCTTCAGACATGAGTGCTATGTCCCAGTAATGATGTGATAGAAAAGGTGCTTCAGAATCTCTGTGTTCCCTTGATATTGCTTATACTGTAAATCTTTCAAAACAGGATAGATCATCATACATCTGAAATATACAGTATGCCTGACACTAGGGTTCACTGGGTGCAGAAAATATTTTTGAAAAACAAACAGCAAGATACAATATGGATGGGTCGTAAAATAGGTGCTTCCTGACTTCCTGACTTTTTATCTAGCGCCACCATCAGAAGTTGACATTTAATTTATTTTAAATATAACCATGATTTAAAGGATTGCAGTGACATTTGGTACAGATATCCATGATATCCAGAGGATAATCCTAATAACTTTGGTGATTTTTTTAGGCATTTTCTTTGGTTTAAGACCAAACAACAATCAACTAATCATATCCCTGTACTTTGGTTAGTGCTAATTAACAAATGTTACATTATACCTGTTAAATATACAAGGAGTTTTTTAACTGGCTATGAAACAGTCTATATGACCTAAATAAACAAAACCACAAAATCATTGAGAAGCTATTATGACATTGTTAGCCTACCACCAGGTCAGATTGGGTTGGATTGCTTTTGAAATCAATGAAACGAGGCGGTGGAATCATTACCATTTTTATCCACAGGGGCCACTAGAATCGACAAAAAAAAGAACGTTCCTTGTTGCTGCTTTCAACATACTAACATGCTGATGTTAGCCTTCAGCTCACAGAGCTCCTAGAGCGGATGCACATTCTTATTCCACATTCATGTCATATTGGATTCTTGAGTCGTCAGATGGCTTGAATGTTTGCTGGTCATTAACATGATTTCATCTCTTCCAACTTCTCAAAATGATGTGAACGTGCTATAAGGCTGTGTCCAAAATCACACCCTATTTACTACGTGGAGTGCTGCAGGAATGAGTCCTTAAACCTAGAAATGAGTTACCATTTTAGCACCTCCAGTTCCCTTGCCTTAATGTCAACAGGTTTTTGGTTACATGACTGAAATAAGGTCTGTCGTTGACACAAGCTTTGTTTTGTGCTGTGACATAAAATAAGTCAGCAAATATGCCACCTTTGGATTTTGAAGCTTTTACTTGTCTTAAAAAAGGAGGTTGCTAACAAGTGGCTAAATGAGAATACAGAGGTTGCCGTCAACATTAGAACGCCAGCACGCCAATCACAGAGACTTATCTACTTCCTAATCCGCCTTTACAACCTTGTTGATTTTATACTTACACTCTTGCAAACTATTGCAACTCAAACCTTCCAACTTGTAGATTTTAATTACACGATTGGAGTTCACATAAAAGTTTAGTGGCAGTGATGTTGAGTCATGTGACTTGGTGTAGTTTGTTTATAGCCTTACTTTAGCTTTGTACTTCTGGAGATTGCATTTACATTTAAATAAACATTAAAGTTGCATTGCTTCGTGTAAGTATCATCAACCTTTATTTGCTACAGAGCCAAAAAAGTCCCATTGGCTTTTTGTCGAAGGAACCACAGGGATGTTAACTTCCAGGTTGGAAAACAAAAAACATTGTCCCCTCTACTACTTAGTGCACTACATTTAGCCTCTGCCATTTTATGTGTCAGAATTTTGAATGTGAAATTCATGCACTATAAGCTATAGTGCCCTCAAAAACTCAAGAATAGAATGAAAATATATACATTGCATTACACTGTTTAGTACGGAGCCCCCCTGGTGACATTGGATTAAAAAAAAATGGCCACGGGTTAAGGATCTTGTGGCCACGAGATAGTTAACGTGTGGCCACGAGATAATTATTGCAG